ACGTTTATTGAAAAATTTTTGAAAATTTTCAGTCACGAAATTAATTAAAAAAATCATTAAAACTAGACAAATGATAGTTTATATTGAAGGTAATTAAATGAAGTTTAGGATAAATCTGATAGATTTTATCTATCTTTTGAATCTGGAAAATTATTTTCATAAAATCTACGAAATTCAAAATTTTTTGAAAATGAAAAAAATTTTTAAACACCCACAACTCGTAAACTAACCGGCCGATTTTGCTCATCTTCGAACTTGATCTTGGTATTGATCCACAGAATAAGCTCACAAAATTTCATGACGATCGGTTGAGAACTGTGGGCGCAATCCTGCTGACATGGCGCGTTATATCACATATACATACATAAATACATATATAAACTTTTGAGCCAATGCCATTTTTCGACATTACTCGATGAAATGAAACATATTATGACAAAATTTTATAAAAATTACGATATGAGACCGGCTACAATAGATAGATTTCTAAAGAAATCTACCTAAAAAAACAGAGTTATGGAATAAAGTATTAGGTGCAGAGGCGGAGCACATCAGGTGGAAAGCAAGACAAGTTATGTGTACTGAGCAGAGCAGAGTAGTATAAAGTAAATATATAGTTATAAAGATACTCTTTTGGATTTTCAGGCTCACCGAGGCGCATCGAAACGCGATAAGGGCCATCAGAAAGATCAAGTACTTTGTAGCACGGAGAAAATTTCAACAGGCGCGAAAACCTTATGATGTCAGAGACGTTATCGAACAATACAGTCAAGGGCATTTGAATATGATGGTGCGAATTAAGGTGAATATATATTTTATATTATTTTATTTACAATTATATGCTCCATTCATTTTACCGGTAATTGTTATCATCCAATTAACGATCTAGTTTTTATATTTTATTATTATCGACATGGAAAACAATTTACAGCGCACTGACCGTATACAGTTTTTTTTTTTTATTAACTTATTGGAAATTTTCCTTTAAATAGATTTATGTTTGAACTTTATTTACATTGTCAATAGTTATTCATTAATAATGATGTTAATTATCAGATTTTATAGTAATTGTTCAATTTTAAGATAATTTAATTTTTCTTTTTGCAAAAAATTAATATTTTTTTTATAAGAATAATGTTAAAAATTTAATAATTAAATTTATTTAATTTTTTATTTATAAATTAACTTTACTAAAAGATAAAAAACAAAGAAAATCTCCGAATAGAAATAACCAAGTTTATTTGTTTTCCATTTTCCGAAACAAGATAATAAGTATCTGGTGTCCTGAATGGGAATATTGGTTTTGCGTGTTGCAGGAGCTACAGAGGAGATTGGATCAGACCCTGGGTAAGCCAGGGAGCTATCTGGCGGGAATCGACCGGGCTGGCAATGTGAAACCCATGACGATCGGCGCACGTTTGTATCGCGTTGAGCAGCAGGTGAGTAGGAGAAGAAAACTCAGATCATTTAATTTTTCTTCCTCAAGTCTAAACAATCGCTCTTTATTTATTTTTTTTTTTTAATTTCATCTTCTGCTCTGATATTCTGTAGACCTGCGATAGCTCCTCTATTTTTCTGTAATTGTAATCGACTGGATAATTAGAAGCGAATTTAATTTAATAACTTGACAAAATTCTAACCGTACTTGATGCAGCCAGTATTTATTCTTTATCGATGTAGATTAAAGTTTAAAGATTGATAATCGCTAATTGAAAGGTGTAATAAAATATCGACGGTCTAATTAGCAATTTGTCTAACTCCTTATTTTTTAGAGGATGATTTTTTAATATTTTGATGTAGTAATAATCCAATTATAAATTATTTGAATGATTCAAACCTAAATATTATATCTCTATTAGATATTAATGATATGGATATGGTTTTTTAAAGTGATAATAAATTTTTCAGAATTGTTTTCAGTGACCAATTGTATATTATATAATTAGAATTTGATCAGCCTATAGGGTCACATAATAAATTTTGAACTAATTGTTTTTTTCGTACAAATAGAAGATTTTCTAAAATGTACACGGAAAGAACAAGATTATACTGGATATAATCCCAGATTATACTGAGTGAAAAAAAATTTTCAGATAGTAGCTAGTATAATCCAGATAACAATTAGTATAATCCAGATTACAATGAGTATAATCCAGATATTATTCAGTATAATCTGGATTATACTAGCTACCATCTGAAATTTTTTTTTTTTTCGCCTCAGATTTCACTGAGTATAATCTGAGATGGTATCCAGTGTCATCTTGTTCTTTCCGTGTAGCTAGACAATTTGCTAATTAGAATGTTGATATATTGTAGGTGATATGAAGTTCACCGGGTCAGCTAGTTTGTAATATAAAATATAAATATATTTATGTAGGTTATTATTTATTGAAAGCCAGAAATCTAAGACAGCCAAGCCAAGCTTGACTCTCCCGTATAAATTTTTCTTATTCAGTTGCCATTCATTTGGCCTCTCCATTCATCTCTCCCCCTTTCAGTCTTGTCACATTCATTCATTTCTTACACCATTTTTTAGCTCCCGCTCGAACTAAACCCGCGGAGAGTAAAAAGGCCGCACTATACTATCTTTAAATCTTGTTTGACTAAAAAAAAACTCCCGACAATGAGGACGAGGATGAGTATGACCGCTTTTTTATAACTATGAAAATTAAAAAGGATGAAGAATTTATTTGCACATCTCTTTCGCGTTCAGGTGTAATCACTGAAAACATTCTCGTGAATTTTATTTCGGGAGTTTTGGGTCGAGAATATAAAAGCTTACGCTCATTAAAATTTTTTAGTTGTATTATGGATGTTCTTTAGTTACTAACAATTTTTTTTAATGATCAAATTATTATTGTTGTTATTTAAAAAGATAGTTTTTTATTTTAAATACTAAATTATTATCTAGTCGCTATAAAAATGGCTTAGAAAATTTTCTACAAAAAATAGCTATGAACTATCGAGCTACCTTCAATATTTTAGGAATTATAGTTACATAAATAATCTTTACATAGTTCAAAAGAAAAAATCATCATTTAGTTATTATAAAAATAATCATAACTCCTTAAATATTGATTTTTAGAAAAAATTACAAGAATCTAAAATTGTAGCCTATAAAATTTCCTACAAAAAATGTCTTAAAGCTATCGAGCTATCTCTAATATTTTAGGAGATACAGTGTCTCTAACTATCACTTATTATTCAGTCACTGTAAAAACTACCATAACTCCTAAAATATTGATTTTTAGAAAAAATTATAACTATCCAAAATTGTTGCCTATAAAATTTCCTACAAAAAATCTATATAAACTATCGAGCTATCTCCAATATTTTAGAAGATATAGCTACTTAAATAGTGCTCAAATAGTTGAAAATAAAAAATGATTATTTAGTTACTGAAAAAATGGTCATAACTCCTAAAATATTGATTTTTGGAAAAAATCATAAGAATACAAAATTGTAGCCTATAAAATTTCTTACAAAAAATCTTTTTAAACTATCGAGCTATCTCCAATATTTTAGGAGATACAGTGTCCCTAACTATCATTCATTATCCAGTCACTGTAAAAACGACCATAATTACCATTATTACGACCATTAAAACAGCCATTAATAAAAAACCAACTTTACAGTTGGCAGTGATGGACAAGAAGCTTGACCAACTAGTATACGTGCTGAACGCGATGGCCCAAAAGCAGCAGATACCGCTGAGAAGCATAGAGGACGAAGTGTAACAAGCTGACACAGCCGAGAGTACCAGCCTAGCTATAATAGCTATTATTACGGAGCATGAACATCAGCGACGACTCTAATTCCACTCATCCATGATATGAGCTTTACTTTATCTTTTAACAACTCGCAAAGTTATCAAGCTTCTAAAGCTCGCGATTACGTTACATAAATATATAAATAAAACCTCATACAGATGCAAGCCCAGAAAAAGTGGGGAGATAAAAGCTCGGCTTTTCAAAATACAATCGATTATTATATCATTAGTTAATGAATTATTTTAATTTTAAATAGAAAAAAATAATTTATACGCACATTACGATACTCGAGAATAATTCGCGTAATTAAATACTACTAACGTTAGCCTCGTCTCAATAAAAATAAAAAAATAAATAACTATTTATTATTTATTAAATAAATATATTTATTAATCGATAATCGAACGTCCGTTACTTGAATTGTAATATAAAATTAAATATTAATTAAAATAGCAATCGTCAAGCACTATCGCGTAGTTTTTAGAATTATTTATATTAAAGTCACTTATTAATTATGAACATCGATATTGTTTAATTAAGTTATTAATAATAATTATAAAAAAAAAATATATAGTGAGCGTACTCAAACAATCGACGGATTTTTTCCAGCTAAATCATTTTTTTTACTAATTATTTAAATTTGTAAAGTGTAAATATTATTTGGGTATTATTTAGTAGGGACACGTCACTATTTAGAAGGTAAGCTTTTAATAGCAATTAGGAATTTATTATTAATTATTACTGTTATTAATAATCATTATCATCAAAAGGAGGGTCCAAAGTGTTTTATTTATTTTTTTTTAAAGGATAAAATGGAGGGATTATTTTTCAGAGCGAATTTAATGAGGCACAAATTTAATATAATTATACTATTATTGATTTTATTTTATATTATGATTTATGAGCCGGGATAATGTATATTTATGTAGATTATATTATATATTTTATGTACTGATAAAAAAATTTATTTTATGAAAAAAATTTTTATTTTAGAAAATTAAAACATAAAATTTTGCTTTAAATAATAACTTTTGTTAAATTGCACTGTACTTTCTTCAATATTGACATTTTTAAAGATATAAGCTCATCATGATGTTACACTCATCAAGAGCTTTCATTTGAGTACCCACATCAATTTTTCATATATTTTTCATATATAAATATATATAATATATATAAATATATAAAATATATGAAAAATTGATGTGGGTACTCAAATGAAAGGTCTCGATGAGTGGAACATCGGGATGAGCTTATATCTTTGAAAATTTCAATAGTTCACAAGATATAAGTTCATATAGATGATTGTTTTGGCATTAATTATATTTTATTATTTTGTAATCATATACAAACAGATAGAGTAATGCATGACTGCCTTTTCATATTAATATAAACGGTCCGTTTGACAATCGCGTAAACGCTAGAACGGGTGCATATAATTAATAATAATAATAATAATAATAATAATAATGATGATAATGATTATTAATTGATCATATTGAGAATAGTTTGTAAATGAATAATACACTGCTTTGAGCCTCTTTGGTGCAGTCTTTGCACACTCTATGGTGCCTATCATAAAACTTTTATCTACTTCACTACTAGACTACTCTCAAATCATGATAATAACTAATGTTAATTTATCCATTAGTGATCAATTCACTGTTAATTGAATATTTTTATCTTAGCAGTTTAATCTTGTTACAAAATTTTTATTTTTAGTTTTAATTTTATTAAAATTGTTTATTTTTTTTTATTAAAAAATTTGGAAAAATCATTTTGTAAAATTTAATTAAAAAAATTATTTTTTATAACAAGAACTGCTTAAGAAATATAAAATACAAAATTTAATAACACTCAGGAACAAAAAAGGGTATTTTAAAGAATTTATTCACTTAAAATTAAAAGCAAAAATAAAATTAAAGAAATATATAATAAATAATATATTTTTAGTTAAACAATAAAAAAAAAATTAATTTATCACACAATTATGTTTACTGTGATGAAGCAATATAATATTTAAATACTAAACACTAATTACTAAAAATAAAACTACCGCGTACTTTGTGTATAAAGCCGAAAGCAAGTAGATTATTTATTTGTTTTTTACATTTTTCTATCGCCCGATTAATTTTATTTATTTGTATAGACTAATTAAAAACTAGGTAGAAAATTATTGAATTTATCTATTTAAAAAATAATAATCAACGGTGGAGGATTACGATATACATTTCAAGCTAAATTATTTTAATTAAAACTTACTCTAATAATCGTACTTACGCTCTTAAATAATTGGCTCTGTAAAAAAAGTAATGAACTTTCCGACTTTTTTAAAAAACATTTTCAATTTTCGATAAAAAAAAATATTATAAATATTACATTGTTGGCGGATCGCCCGAATAATTAATTATCTTATTAAATTAATCATAATCATAAATAGTTTGCCACATTTAGAATTGAATTTACCTATTTAGAGTAATAACAATAACAATATCAATTTAAATCATTATAAGAGATATTCCGATCTTGACATTGAATTAAATTAATGTGGTTGTAATCCGAGAATTAAGGATCATGAAATAAGTTAATCAATTTAAATAATTATAAACACTTATATGTCGGCGAATTATAATTTTAAAGGATTATACATATATACATACATATTAATATATAACATATATATAGACTAAAAATTTAGAATATTTACGAAAGCTCTGCAACTCGCAGCTTAGATTGTGATATCACGCGACCTAGTTATCGAAAACGTCAATAATTTTTTTTCAAACACGCGTATGCCTACTTATAAATATTTATTATTATTATTATTATTATTATTTTTTTATTATTATTAATTTTTAATTTCTAAAAATTTATTGTAAATTAAATTGTTACCGTAAATAATAATGATAATAATAACAATAACATTAAAATCTAGCAATATTAAAAAAAAAAAATTAATAATTAAAAACGCAATGAGTATTAAATATATTAGGTTGTTTGAATTGAAATTACTGTCTTAAAAAATAAAAAAATAAAAAAATAAAAAAAAAAAAGTCTTGACATTAAAAAAAAAAAACAACTAAATATTATAATTGAAAAATAACTAAATCGCTGATAATAATGAAAACTATTTTTATAAAAATTATTTTAAAATTAACTAATTATTTACAACCAAACAATTAAAATTAAAATGAAATAATAAACCACTGTTGCTGATTATAATAATAAATTTATTTATTCATTGAAATATAAAAAAAACAATTGTTAAAAACAGAAAAAAGAAAAAGTTATATTTTTAAAAAATAAGATTAATATAATTTTTGTTAAGAAAAGTTCTATTGTTACTGAGTCAAAAAAATTTTAACTGTTTTTATTATTCTACATACTGTTGATCAGTAAAAAATGAAGCAAGAAATTTTTATTTGTTATTAATTATACTAACAAATTATAATAAATCTTTTTTAAAAAAAGACCAATACTCTCCCAATGTACAAATGAAGACCAAGCCTATTAAAATTGTAAAAATTAATAACCTTCGCTGACCAACTTTTGTCCGTACTGTCTGATTTTCCAATAAGAGTCTTGGCAGTATAAAATCTTAAATTTATTGTAATAACTGGTAAATGAAATTAAATACTTGAATTATTTTAAAAATAATAACAGAGATGCGCTTTAACTGCTCTAGTTTCGAGAGTCCTCGTTATTGATTATTTAATTGAATATTAATGTTTAATATATATTTAAAAGCAGTCATTAAAGTTTCAATAGTAATTTATTATTGTTTTCTATCCTTATAATTATTTTTGAATTAAATATCAAATTATTATTTGGTCACTTAAATGACTATAATTTCTAAAATATTAAATTTATGACAAAATTATAAGACCAAAATTGCAGCTTGAGAAATTTCTAACAAAAAATAGTCATAAAAAATTTAATTAAATAATTACTATAAAAACTTTCGAAGCTAGCGCAATAATTAGCGATGGTAAATAATTAATTAAACTCGATTAACTCAATCATATCACCGTAGTTGCCTATTATATACACTATCCACTAAATAAATCTATCTAGAATATCTCGTAAACAATAATAATAAATAAATAAAAATTCATTACTTTATAACTAATAATAATAAACACTACTACTATAATTAATAATTATATTGATAATAAAAATCGATTGTAAAATTTTTTATTTATTTTACGGTAAAGAAGAACTCTGTTCAAGTATCTACTAATTAATTAATAAAATAAAATTATAGAAAAATGCACTTATCACAGGGTTCTTCACTAATAAATAATAAATAATAAAATAAGTAATAACGATTATAGGAATAATTAAATTACTGTTAATTGTTTGGATTATTTATAATTTTTTATTAATAATTAAAAAGGTCACTTGATGTTTAATTAAATAAGAAATATTTATTCCTACAATTTATTGACGCAAAAATATTTTTGCAAGTGTCCTTCCAATATTTTAAAGATAGCGATTATTATTATTATTATTATTATAAAAATAAAAACGCTTTTAGTTATTACTTAATTAATAATTAACGCTACTTTTAGTGGTCCATTTCTCGAGTTTTCATTTAAAATCGTTTATTAATTAAAATAACAATTGTGTATTATTGATATTTTACAATTGCAGTAATATAATTTAATGTAGAATAGCTTCTATAGCGATTACTCAAATATTAAGGAAATGGACCAAGATGTATAAATTTATAAATAATACACGAGTAAATAAATAATTATTAATTATATATTACGTAAGAATAATTAATGTTATTATTTTAAAATATAAATAAATATGATGATTATTTATGCCTTGTCAAATATTGTAAATTTGTGACATTCATTTCTCTATTATGTATAATTATTAAATATAAATATTAAAATATTATAAAATTTTGTCTTTTTTTTTTAATTAATTCAAATATTAAGTTAATATTATTTCTTCAG